CAACGGAAGTGCGTGCAAATTTCGGCGACCTTGAAAGAACGCTGTAGAAAAAGCCAGTGATATATGAAACAATTAGGTTTAATTAGTACGCCCGTTTCCGCCTCTCGTTTAAAGTGTTTGCCACGCGTGACTTGTTAGCGGCGAACGAAAGGAAGCCGGAGTAGTTATCAACGTCCTGCTCGCAGCACTTCACGAGAAAATGTGGACTCAGTGCGCACGTTTCTCTGAATTACGGCACGAAACACACCAGAAAGGAGCTTGACGCCACGAAGAAAATGAAAGAAAAGATGCTTTAAGCATAAAAGTGCAGTTGCCATTAAATTTTCTTAATTTGCTCCTAATTCCCCTCCAATTAGTAACATGTGCTGTAAAGTTGAGCGGCACTCATCAATTTGTTTTGAGGGAGAATGAGATCTGAGAAAAGGTGGCTTCACTGCATACTTAGCGTAGTGGCGTTGCTCTGGTATACCTCTTTGTGACAATGGAGGTTCATATTCTTAAAGTGTAACAACTGATTATGAAACTAAACTTTATCGCGCGCTCACTCCTTAAGTTTCAGAGTTCATGGAAAAGCTATTTTCCAGCTTTTCCGTTGAATAACAGTGAGGAAACTTGTAATGACTGAAAAGCAGCCTTTGCAAAATTAGGCTTATCACCACATAAAAATACACAATAATATGGATTATAAGAACTACAGCGTTGCTTGACTGTTTTTAAATTAAATAAAAAAAAATACATCTCCAGTCCCACCTTGGCGGTGGTGCCCTTACTTAAATACCGAAAATATCAAGCTCGACGGGACAGACAAGGACACCAAGAAGACAAGAGAGCGACTTACTTACGAAGTGCGCTTTCATAAAAATCCAAAAAAGATACGAAAGAAGTGATTCACTTATACGAAAGACAAAAACGGTCAAACAGCGAAAAGAAGAAATTGAAGAAACAGGTTAAATAAAAGTAAATATAGTTATTCCATTGTAAAATCTTCGCGTTATTGAACATAAAAAATTGTAGGCTGAAAAAGGATAAAACAAAATGTAAAAATTGTTTTCACAACACGATTAGGACAGATGAACATGCAGAACATAATCTACCAAAAGTAGAAACTTTTTGAAACCTCTTGTGGGTGTGAAAGGGGGTGAGGGGTAGTACTTTTTTCCGACAACGACACAGAAGCTACACCGACACTGGCGTCCCCACGAGATTTAAAGGTCTGCGCCTCGGAAAGTTCCTTGAACCTTCCTCCTCGGGACTGTTCCAGAATTTTTGTCCTTTTTAAGATTGGCGTGCATTGGCAGTCAGGGACATGTATTTATCAATGTTGTACCGGCAAGTAGTTAAAAGATGTGGCATGTTCTCTCAATCTTGCATATACACACCAGCCCGATCGTCCCACATAACCTTTCCCACGGGCGAATGGTATTTTTAATGTTATACCGCGGTGGCATGGTATCTATTTTTGCTTGTGTTTCACATTTCTGTCGTCATGATGATCTGGCGGTTAATTGATCTAACGTCATAGCTTTTTTAGCTTGTCCGGCACTGAAAACACCAGTGTAAGTCATATCTGGATGCAACCTTCTTGATGTTAAGGAATAGCTGGTGTATGTTGGACACAACTGCAGAACGTCGATTCCGGTTTTGCGTCTTATTTTTTGTTCTTTTCGAACGAATAATATTTTTCGCAAACATCACACATGATAGTATTCGCCTAACCGGGCGCCTAGGGCCGTTCCGTTTGCGGTTCAAAGGTCTTCGTTTCACCGAGTTATCACATGACTTCCTAAAGGCGGCTCTGAGAACCTTATGTACAATGGCCCTTTTTATTAGTTTTAAATAGAATGATTCATATTGAAGCAGCTTTTTTTCTTTTGTTTTGTCATGTAAATCAATCACGAGTGGTCGTTCTTGAAGATTAGCCGTAAGTCTACCATATGGAGGGGGTTTTCAGTCTCAAGCGACCCCCTTGTGATTTTCAACATGGTGGCTCGAATGGTGTTGGTTTCTAGCTATTTAGTGGCCTCAGGTGGATTGCTTACAAGGACAAGGTAATCGTTCAAATATTTGTAGATTTGTTACACTTGGGCGGTGGGAACGAACGGATACTTGGGTCTATAGCACATAAAACCGGCGCCGCACAGTATCTCATGCATATGCCTTTCTTTTGCAGGTAGTAATTGTCATTGAAAGATACGACTCTACATGTTAAAGAGAATGTCAATAGATCCAACAAAATTATATATATGAAGCTTATTAATACTGAAAACGTAGTGTATCATTTGTGTCGATAGGCTCCTTTCCAACTGCGTGTATACTATTGTGGTGATTGAATAAAGCAAATCGTCATCTCAAAGTGAGAAACTAATGTGCCCAGTCGTTGTAGTGTTTTTTATATTACTAAACTTGTTTGGAATTGGGCATTTACAAAGGTTTGCAAGTTGGAAATTGGGCAACTGGCGAACAAATGTACCATGCTCTTTTTCAGTGACGAATGCACGAAAAGTTCATCCATCTTTATGTGTTCCAATGGTGAAAGATTCTTTTTGAATGTTGATATGTTTTTCTCATGCACGAAATATGTTTCTAGCACAATCAAAGAAATTTTGCTTTGACCTTTTTAGTTAAAGCAAAGTGTCACAATGTATAACAATTGCACATATATGTTGCCGACTACTATGTTCTTCTAATCAATTTACCTGAATCACTTACTTAAAACAGATCATTACCATACGAGCCACCTTTATTGAACATTCTCATGAGCTCAGACATATCTACGAGCTCCCTACTAAACACAATTCATTTTCTACATTTACGGCTTATTTTCCAGAACGAGTGAAAAAAACAAAACAACAAGGACTGGTGTAATATGACACATTTTATTATAAAACTCGTCAAACGGACAATTGTGAATAAGTGTCTCAGAGCGGCCCTTAAAGGCAGACGTACACTTCGCGTTTTTGCACATTTGACCGCCTCCTTCTTTCCTATGTCATCCCCACTTATTACATTGCCACAACTTGGTTCACCTCGCAGCTGAAAAGAGGAGGAGCGTTAAGATTGTCTATCCTGCAGAAAATCGAAGTTTTAAATCAGGCATTAAGAAATTATGTGATCACTCGAAGAGACGGAGCTTTCAAACACAAAAAATCTTCTGAAGGCGTCCTGTTACCCAAATAGCACCTTGTCGGATGTTGAGGAAAATATTATTAGCTTCAAAATTAAAAGAAAAGCGCCAAGATCAGGAGTCGCTGCTCGGAAGTTATGCGCTACAAATGCCGTTTATCCTATAACATCAAAAAGTGCATCAAGATATGACATTCGATAGGTATTCTCAACGCCGTCCAAGCTGACCAGGCTATACACTAAGATCCATTATCCGTAAAACCATCATGACGACTGCGATAGGAAGCAGAAGCCTAAATATATTCCATTCCGCAGCTGTATAATATACAAAATACCATTCACCCAAGGGAAAGCTTATGTTTAACAATCTGATCTTTTTGTAAATACTAATGCACTTTTTTCATCAGACACACGCGCGGCAGCTTTTTGCACGGGAATGGCCTGTGCCAGCAGGCGTCACCTTTTCTTCAACCGAAAGCGCAACCAGAAAACAAAAGAAAGAAAAGAAAAGAAGGAAAGAAAAGAAGGGAAAGAAAAGAAAAACAAAAGAAAGAAAAGAAAAGATGAAAAAAGTGCATTTTGGCACTCTCGAGTCTCGCGCACTTCATCCTCTTCTGAAGAAATAGCATCAGTTGATAGTCAGCGCTCGTCCTGTCCTCTTCTCTTCTATCTTCCTGTCGTCTTTGCGCTGTTAAAACACTAAGTATGAACCAACTAGCCCACCGCAGTACCTTGTTACCTTCTTGTGTGGATGCCTTTGTCAGTGCGTCTTCTGTGTCGTTGTCGGCCAAATAACTAATGTACCTCCACCCCCTACTCGAGGTGTTAGGGGTTTGTAGTTTCGGTGGATGATCTTATGAATTGTTATCATTCAAAAGTATAATAAAATGATTGCTGCAAATTGTTTATAGTTTTATTGCTAATTATTGCTTTTAATAATGCGAATGTTTTGTAGTCATTTATCACTATAATTTGCTTTGATTTATTCTGTATGTTTAGTTTATCTTTCTCTTCCCCTTGTCGTATGAATAACTACTTTAACTTATGTTTACATTTTTGGATTTTTTATTAAAACGCCAATTGTGAGCATAGTGATGTTCTGTCTACCTCATATTCTTGTCTCTCCATTTGCGCTTTATATCTGCAGTATTTGAACCAACCAAACAACCGCAGGATTTGAGTGCACTGCCTTCAGTCTCAAACGCTAACGACGTAGCGCAACAAAGCACGGGTTTAGGAACGCGTGGTGCAATTCTTTAGAGAACCTCCCCTCCCCTCCCCCTCCGCCGGAAGTGTACGCTCGTGGCATAAATACGCGTTCACAGAAGCGGGAGAGTGCCGTACTTATACGGCCGTTTTTCACCTACTTATTGCTCGCATTCTTGGGTAGGTGAGAGAGAGATGCATCGGTCGGTATTCTTCTCGCGCGCATGCGCGGTTGGTGGGATAAGGCGCTCACTGGGTGTGCCGCAGTTTTCGCATTTTGCAAGACACAGAAGCGAACTGAAGAGAAATTCGCTGAAGAGAAGTGGCGTCAAGCTCAGTATGATTGTGCTCTACGCGACAAAGAAGCGCGGGAGGTGATATATTATAGAAATATTCTTATATATTTTGCGTGTTCTTTGTATGATGATATGTCTGTCCCTCCGCTCTCTCATGTGTTTCTCAATGTACGCATTTTTTTTTGCGCTGGTGGGATGCGGTTGCATTAACTTACGTGTCTCTTTCGTCATAGAAATAACGACCGCTCTGTCCGAGACCCCGACATAAAAATATTCGTAATGAAATGTTTTTATTTTTTTTTCACGTGAACGCAGGTTCTTTATTAGGAATGGGAAAGCAATTTTTGATTGTTAATGTTTCATTAATACCTGCAGGAACACCAACCAAAGTGGCTTGCGAGATCTACATCCGAAGTTTTGGATCCATTAATCCTGCCACAATGGTGAGCTGGCTAGCTGAGGGCGCACTCACGGAAAAATCTCATACAAGATTATTTTCAAAATATCATATTCACAAGTGTCATTTGGCTTGTCTAACAAAAAAAAAAAATGAAATATTTTCTTTTTTCGTCTGACTCTTGTATGCATGTCTTCAAATTTCGAACTAAGTGTTTTGAAAAGTTGCAGCAAAGTATTTATTCTGTCAGCCTCATGAACATTGAAACTAAAGCAAGACGGCCAGTTCTTTCAACTGTGCAGAATCTAGGGATGACGGTACGCTATTCGACTAGAACCACTATTCGCACACCCCTAGATTTTTTTTCTAAAGCAAGACAAATGATTGCATTTGAGCTCCCATGTCGCAACTCGGCAGTGGTTTTTAGCGCGTCTTCACCGGACAGCACACCACTGTCTACATTGCAGGTGGACGAAGCGCACGATTGTTTGTCTTTAGGGCAGTGTCTACCACAGGTACGCTCCAGAAAGTTGTCTTTTATTGATATTCATGAGAAAGACTTGCTTCACGCCTCATCTTGAGAGCTTGACGAACTTCTTAAGCCCCGAAAAAAAATCACATTTTCGGGAGAGCAAGAAGGGGGGCTGGATTTGTGAAGTTTTAATTCTTCCTTCCGATTTTGCATAAGAGCAAATTTGTTTCGAAATTCTTAGTTAAGCAACACACAATCACATTTCATGAAGTCATCGTCTCCGTTTTGCTGATAATTATATTTTTGATTTATTTCAAAATATACATAGATAAATGTTTCGTCGATCGTTATCTTTAATTTTGTTCACCTTTTTTTTGCGTACCTTTCACGGCTCACCCAGTCTCGTTTTTATTGAGAGGGCTCTCTCCAACGGCTGGAAGGGCCTCGTTGACAGTCGCAAGTGCTACATCGAGGTCATCTTGATCGGCAGGGGCATCACGAGCCCGAGGTTGCGCATCAAAAGCGCCACTTTTTTTCAAGATGAAGCAATTTCGCCAGCATGTCTGACAAAGCCGTTCGCCAGGAATAAGGATCAGATTGGGGTGGGCATCTGCCAATGATGTTGTAAGAATCGCGGATCCGCGGCCATTCTGGATATGTTCAAAGAAAGATATAGAACACCACTTGCAAGCAATCAGTGACATGTATATTTTAAGATATATTTTCTAATGGTGACCACAGAACTCATATCGCCTTATGGGCGCCCTGAGCGAAAATAGAGCAGCCATTGTTCCGTGTCCGTCAGGTTTTGAGCATGAGTTAGAGACCACTTTTGGCCTGCGTTATTTCGTGGAAATCACCTGCACCGACACAGACAGGAGAAAGTTTTTCTTTTTTTTTTATGCAAACAAACCAGAACGTTTCAGGTTACGCTCTGCACATAATATAGAGCTCTTTTACCTCACCGCACGATTCGGGCACATAAAGGTCTGGTATTTCACCACAGAAGCCAGTAATGTATCCAAACCTGTATATTCAGCTTTAAATACTTTTTGGTTCATGTTCAGTGACAGGGAAGAGATGAATCACGTCAACTGCAAATAAATCAATGCGGTGTTATAACTTTCGCTTGGGTAGTTGTAGCATAAACATAACAAGGTGAACGGCTTACAGCTTAAATATTTGTTTAAAGTCTCGTTGGTTTGGGAAAAATTGTAAATTGACCCGCTGCAGTTAAACAAAGGCAGTTACACATTAGCGATGAGTAAGCACGACACTAATATCTATACAGTTCAGAAAATAAACGAATCAGATTTTTCCACTAAACCACATCCGCAAACCACACTAACCACAAAATGACGTGCCTGTGCCGACTAAACTGTTTCATCCATCAAAACGGCTCAATACTCTGGAAAAAAAAAACATCTTTTACGGGCAGATTTTTTAATCCTGATCGGAGTCAATGGTCGTTCAAAGCAATGCGTCTCTTTTTCCTGCCTTTTTTTACTGTCGACCCTTTCCTTTCAAAACGCCAGCAAGGATCTATCGTTACCACGCTTCCTGTGCAGGAAAAGTCCCCATCAGGTGATGCCGACGCCGATTGTGCATTAAGCTTAGGGGGGTTATGGAAGCTTATATCGCTACAAATGGCGCAACAAGCCTGCTCTGCAATGGAGGCGTAACCGATTACCACATGATGTACGGTGTTGTTTGCGTTACAGGCGAGAAGAAAGACGAGTGAAGGCAGCCACGGCTTACAGTGGCGCTTGTTTAGCTGTACACAGTGACTGTATACGCGGGTCAAGAATGCGAATGCGCATAACCCCCTGACAAAATAATATTCCCGACCAGCAATCTCCTTGAGTCCGTACGAAGCTTCCCGCCTCTCGTGTCAGGTGGCGTGCTGTGCAGTGAAGGTGCGCTAAAAGACAATGCCAGGTTGCGACACGGGAGCTCAATTTCAACCTTAATTTTGTCTCGCTTTAGAAAGATACAGGGTGCCTCATATAGCGGCCAAGCTTTTTAAATCTACCGCAAAAATCGGTTTCTTAACCTATCGCGCTACGATTTTTTGTGCAGCGTTACTCCCAAGAGGTGCATTTTCTCTATTAAGTTTGCAAAGAGCAAACTTACCGGACAAAAAAGTAAAAAAAAAACAAAAAAAAACATTTTTAGCTTCTTTAGAAACGTAACAAAGCCACCGGTCTTGAAGCAATAGGGCGCCCTATTGTTTGACGACCGCTGGCTTCGCTGCGTTTCCATAGAAGTTAAGCCGTGTTCTTTTTTTGCTTGTTCACCAGGTGAGTTTGCTTTTTGCATTTTTTATAAAAAAAAGAACTATCTTTGGGCAACTCTGCACAATATCGTAGCGAGGTAGGATAATAAACCGATTTTCGCGGTCGATTTAAACAGCCTGTGCGCTATTTGAGACACTTTGTATTGTTTTGATGGAAGTTTCAGATATTAAACGCAATGTACTCTTCCTCTAATGCCATGTTTTTATTTGTATTTTTACTTGAACCACATCAGGGTGAAAGAAGCGGCTGTTTAGGCAGCAAAACGGACGTTTTGTTTACAAATTTATAGCTTGGTTTTTGTGACGTGATTTGTTATACGGGCCGAAATATGTTTTTCTATATGTTACATCTACAAGGTTGCCAATAAACCAATTTACCAGTGCCAGGCGCAAAGCGATAATAAAAATTGAAGAAATTAGCTTTTTTTTAAATTTCGTTGAGCGTATTAAGAAGTTTTGCACTAAAAATCGCAAATCAGCACACCATAACTGTCTAAAATTAGTTTGAATTAAAAAAGTGCAATGTTTCGTTGAGTGAGTGAGTATTTCTAAATTATTGATCGATTTCTAGTTTTACGCCCACATTTACAGTAAAAACTACGCTCACGCCACCGGTCTCGAAGCAAAAATCCATCAACTTTCTTTACAAGTTCTGAAGTGGTGGACCGCAGCGCCTGGGGTGTTAGGAATGGAATGTCCCAATAAAAACTATTCATGAAAGTTAAGTGTGAGATTTTGGATTTCTCATTGCAACTCAAAAGCTCCATTTCTCAGGCTGAAACATCACAGGAATATTAAAAAAAAAATAAAAAATAAAAAAATGATAAAAGTGAGCAAAATTGTTTTTTAAGTAATGTATGTTTAACATCACATTAAGCAGATATTTCATGTGTGTATTTCATCCTAATTTTTATGAACTGTGATTTATGTCTACAGGATTATGAAGTTGACCTCTACCTGAGACAGACGTGGCAAGACGACCGTCTGACAAGTTCCAACGTGTCCCGACCTTTAGATCTCAACGATCCCAAGCTGGTCCAGAGGATTTGGAAGCCGGAAGTCTTTTTCGCAAATGCCAAACACGCCGAGTTCCAATACGTCACAGTGCCAAACGTCCTGGTGCGGGTCAACCCAAATGGGAAAATTTTATATATGCTCAGGTAAGTCGGATTGTTTCGGAAGAACTATTAAATTACTAATGATGTTTCTCACTGGGATTGCTCCTAAGCTCGAATGAAGAAATCATATACATTATTAGATTTCATCCTACGCACGAATGGAAATAAACCAGCCTCAGTGGTATATGTTCAGGGCGCGGGAAACATGTGACGCCAATAACTGAAAAGAAGTACTGTCATTCAAATCGTTAAATAAAAACGCCGCCTGACGTATAGAGTACTATATGGACAATGTTTAGTTGCAATTTAAGGAAGCCAAAGCTTCACTATTCGTTCAACCGAAAACGTAAATATGTATTCGCGCATTTGTTACGCTCGTGAGCACTTTAATTTCTGGGAAACATTCACGGAAGTATGCCTGCTCATGCAACGCCGATACTATTTACTTGATGATATATTTTTTCCTAGCTTGAAGGTATTCTTATGTAGTATCTTGAACTAGTAAAAAAACTCACCAGATGTTCAGACAGCTAGCTGTTTTATCATCAAAATATATGATTAGTGCTAACGAAGATAGCACAATATTAGATGTTTTTGCCTGTGGGAGCCATTCAAAAACTGACACCATCACTCTTTTGGCAACGCTTGTCATAAAAAAATTATATTGCTTATATCTTTCCTAAGTTATGTACGAAATACTATTATATATAAAACACAAGATTTAATATGAGGTGGCTCTGCGGTTGCAAACTTTTCAAGGTGAAACATTACTTAGGGTAATAGAAGTCGTTGAAAATAAATCTCAACTTTAGGTTTTAATAAAACAATCATCTACCTTATTCATAATTTAAGAACATTTTGTAATGCTCGGGATCGTATGCCTGATCACTCAGAATCAAGTTACGACTTCATGAGAGTCACTTCGTATCTAAACACCTACTCCACTTTGAACAGGGCCAGCAAAAGATAGAAATTTGCAATCGCAATGTTTTCTTCAATATACCTAATGCCGAAGATAGAAATAACGTAGAATAAAACAATCATTTTATATTGGTTTAGGTGGTGTAAAAAATAATGGAGTATTACTTTTCAGAGCTTTTAAAAAGAACCATCTGATTCATTGAATAGTATGAATACGAAGTATGAATACGCAAGTATGAATACGAAGGTCGCGCGAACCTTGTTCTCATCGGTAAGGGTAGCATGCCGTACTGAGATGGCCTTTATTGAAAGGCAGGGTAGCAAGTATAAAAAATATACCTTCTATATAGACTGATGGAAATTAAAACGGTCATTATGCGCGAAGGGCTTTAGCTGAGTGAGCATGAGGAGTATGGGAGCAAGGTGGAGGAGGCGAATTACAAAATTTTGATTTTACATGTTTGAGAGGTAGTGGCAACGCAGATCAGGGTATATCAATTTAGTATACCGTTAAAGCAGCAGATAGTGAAATATAAAAAGTGGGTAGGCGAACTATGTTTTCTTGGTAGATTTCTAGACACTTTAAGTTAGAAATTCACAGAGAACACATGAAGGACAGTTCTAGAGGGACCCGTCCATTGTTTTCTGAGGCCAAGATGTGAGTGTTGCAACGCATGATGTAGAAATTTATAATATATGGAGCCCGTCAATATGAGGAGTAGGTTATTGGATACTTTACAATCTCTTGTAAAGGGCTCCACCTTGCAGTTGCCATTAACGTGAACCATTTACAAAAAAAAAATCATTGGAGTGTAGCTATAGCTAGGTATAAATATGCTTTTGGAAGGAGTAAATAACCAAGCAAAAACTATTTGACTGACTGTCATGAGTCAAGTTAAAAATAAGTTTTACTTTATTTGTTATTTTATTGCCCCGTTGGGTTGATTAAATTTGGGCACGCCCGGTTCAAGAGGCACTTCTCTCAGGAGGATTTAAATTTTCGGGAGTACTGCTATTATAAACGTTTGTATATTTTGCAGAGATTCACGTTTGAAACTAAGAACACTGGCTAGGTGGTGAAAAACGCCGCTCAGCTTTCAAGGGTTCAGCTGCTTGCGTCAATGCGTACCATGAGGTAAAAAAGCCGCGTACTAGAATCGTTCAAGGAAGCCTCTAGGTAGCGTTAAGGCGACAAGACAAATATTGAACTGAAACTTACAATTGTGTAGCCTATTATACTTCCCGTTTAATTCGATGAACGCTTTTTGGTATAATAACAAATCAATGAGCCAGACTAAAATCTCATGTGCTTATACAAAAAAACTGTTCCTTGCATATGAACAATCTTTCCTAACAAAAAGTCAGATACCAAAATAACATCACAACACTGTAGGCGGAGATTAATCACACAGAACACAGCAATATCTAAAGAAGTTTTTATTTGCAAAACAAGTAACCCTAGAGATTGCGGGAAAAACTCGAAACGAATAAGACAACGAGTCATTTTTATACTTTGTAGAAAATAGTAGTCAAAGAGATGGGCATACAGTGATATAAATGCGAAGCTTATTTTTTACATCCTTGATATTTTTTTAAATCTTTCTTCGACTTTCGTCTTAAGACTGATAAAATTGTAGAGGGCTCTGCGATTCCCAGATCCGTACATTGAGCTAAAATTTTCTTCGCTGTGCCATTCGTTGATGCTGTGAAGGAGACAGCAATGATCCCCAGAAATCGTCCGGAGGGTGTCGCGCCTTCGAGTGTTTGGCTTTTCAAACTGCTATTCGGGCAGATTTGACTTTAAAAAAATATCGAGAAACTACTAAAATAAATCGCAGGAACCTAAGGTGCACTTCATCTTCTGGATGTCTTAGAGAGGCGCCCTCTGAGAATCATGAACTTTGGTAACAGGAAGAAAAAGCCTGCTCGGGCCTTATTCTCGCAACGCACTGGGGGCTGTCGTGTCTATGCCTAGGATTGGGTACTGCAAACGTTAGAGCCGACGTAATGACGGTTGTAAATCACTCCGTGGCGCGCACCTAGCGTCAGCACGTTATCGGGACGATTGTTCCAGATGGTCCTAGAACGCAGAGAAATGTAGACGTCGAGAAGTCATTAAATGTTTTGCTTGTGAGCTGCACAGACTTCGTTTACGTTAAACTACAGCAGGAGAATAATTCAAAGGGAGGTCCCGTTTTTTATGACGAAGAATTGGCAGACAGAAAGCTTTATTGAAACAGGTTTTCATAACGAGTTAGGATGGTAATATGCAACCACTACATGCTGTTTGTAAAATATAAAGCATCCACACAAAACAAGTGACATTGAACCGGCTAACGAGTTCCAAGGAGAAGCAAAATGCTTGAAAAAAATATTGGTAAGATACAAATACAAGACGCTTTGAGCTGTATATGTTATTACAAACGTTAATTAGAATAAACAAAAATTAAATGCAAATACAGCGGGAAGTAATTGGCCTTGCTTAAATACCTTTTTAAAATTATTAGGTTCCCATAGAAAATTATCTGCGTCTGAAAACTAACCAGTGTAACAAAAGCTAATTCTCGAATGAATAGAATGGTCTATATGAGTGGACAATTAAATGCGCAAAAACGAAATCGCCGGTATAACAGTCAAATGTTTTATATAAAGTAGGAGGTGCGGCTGAATGGATACTGTGCAGGAGATTATAGTTCGTTCAGAGAAACAAACCCTTCTTTTAGCACACTCAACTATAAGAATATTGTCAAATGTTATGAATCTCGATGGGTCCTTATCTTCCAGTCGCATTTCATAAGTACGGAGAAAAGCGGAAGAATGGGTTCACAGGGTTTCAAATTCCGTGCTCGCCGGTAACAGTCTCGCAACGGTTTTTTGGGAAAAAATACAAACAAAAAACAAAAAAACAATTCCAACCGACCCATACGTTTCCTGTTTATCTCTTCTATTTGTCTTGCACGTTTCTTATGATGGATTCTGCGAAGAGTCATGATATTTACATACGACTCACATCTCCTAGGTTGAATCAATAGACGAAGGTGTCAGCTAGTGTTAGCGTACAACAGCATAAAGAACGCGGAGTAAAAAGCACGCTGCGAAATTGAGCCATCAGACTTCATACCAGTTTCGACCTGGATCCCCATCGAATAAGAGTGCCGTATTGAACTCACTACTGTCTCGCATTCGTTGAAAACAAGAGGTTCGAAATTGCAATGCACATGCCAATTTCTTACCGACAGACAGTACTATTGTCGCACTACCTCGAGAGAAAACTGGCTTTTGGCTGTCAAAACATCCAGATGTCTTAGTTGCTTTCACTTGGAAATTGTAGTTAAAGTGTATTTATTCACAAGTGTTGAAAAACACAAAATGTTCTCTATTTAAATACTACAACGTGTTACAACATCTGTAATAAGTTGTTAAATACGAAATATGACGAAACACTTAAACTAATTAAAACATCTGGTTTGACATATAAGTGGATATCGGAATTTCAATATTATTTAAAGGGAGAAACTGTACTCTGTAGTAAGACACCAATTAATTTTGCATGTGTTATTATGATTTTTTAAGCTTAGCTCAATGTATACCTTGTTTCCCAATTGTAGGCAGTGCATTTGCAAGAGAGCGTTTAGATTTTCTTTAACTTTCTTTATGCACTGTGAATGAACGAGCGCAATAGCCATTATGCTGCCAGTGTCCTCATGCCACTTGAACCGCGTGTGTTTCGACTTCGCCAAACTTGGGATGTCAATTTCTTTTTAGCACAGAATGATTATGGCTTGGATTACATACGTATAGCGTCCCGCTCCAGTGTAACGAAAAAGCGTTACACACAGCCCAATACATAGGACATTATGCATAGCCAAAAGCAGGCAATGCGTACGCATCTAAAACACATAGAAGGTATACTAAGTGATAGATATTTGTTGATAACTATAACCAGGAGAAATAATCACCTAGAGCGCGATTCACCAAGGAGCAGAGCGGCAATCAAACCCAGGACCATGCGAAGCACAGTCCGTCGTCTTTGCTCGACGCCACAATAAGGAAGGGAAGGACAGCGCAAGTAGCTGGACTAAGGATGACTTGCCGTGAACAGTCACCTGCGTTGCGAATTTCTGCAGTGAGTGATACTTAGTCCAGCATACTTAGTACGCAACCAACTAGCGGCGTTAGTCACGCTTAGTACGTCATAGTTTATCCATAGGTGAGCGCCGGCGAATAGTTATACTCAGCACATCACACCTAGTCTACAGGCGATCGTCAGCGGCGAGTCATAGTTATTTCATAATAATTAGTCAGCAGGCGATCGTAGGCCATACTAGCATAGGCGGTCATACGTTTTTTAGCATACTTAGTCCGCCGGCGACCATCTTCGTACGCACCTGTTTCCAGAACGATGAAACGTATTTCCACAGTGGAAATCACAACATCGCGGTTTGGATCAGCGGGTATGGAACGCCACAGCTTCAGACAACAGTGTTGCAATAAGCCTTTTCGTTTTTCGATTACTTCAGTTACCACAAGGGATTTCTCGCAATCCAAGAGCTCTAATAATTCACGGTCTTAAACGCACCCACCGAGGAATCACAAAGCATAGAAATCCTTTCCTAAAGCGTGCTCGTGAGAGGTAACATCCCTGAATAAACGTTAAGTGTCCTTGACCACCTTCGATAAACCCGAAGAACAGAGTGCGTCTTTCGTCCAGCGCATCTGAAACCCCCCGAAGTTCCTTCGTACCAGGCTTAACTAACCCAAACGCTTGCCTAATTCTCGCACGGCACATTCTGTACAGTCGAGGTTTATAAGAATAATCAAAATAGGTCGAACGTTTTATTGTTATGTTTTTTCAGTTTCTAACAAGCTCTACTTTCACTTTAGCTGAGGTGACGAAAGCTTGAATATAACGCATTTACTGTAAGTCGCAATTTCACCTCAACTGTTATAAGCACATTAAAAATATCATCATGGGTTTCCATGTAATATTATTATGTTATATGCTTACGCCCACCTGAGTATCTTAGCAATTTCGCGAGTATATAATGTTTCATACTTTTGTTTACAAAGTTAGGCATTTACTTACATAAAATAAATACATATGCAGTTGTTTCCTGTGCATTCTTGTTTAGACTAGGGCCATAATAAACATAATATTGTTTCTCTAAATTGAATTTAATATCACCAAATACTGAAATTCTACCATTCTAAGAGTGTATATATTATATTTTAAAACTAAATGCGTAAGATTTGAAGGTTCTTAACGACTGTAACAAGCAAATATTCGAGAAAACGATTCTAAAAAAAATCAAACCGTAATATGAGCCCTTTTAACTTAACTTTCAATATTATCAGTTTAATATAAATTAAACATGCGAGGAAAGTGGAGCTTGAAACGTTTTCCAAATTCCTATATCAAATATTTAAAGAAAGCTCTTGGTCCCGAGATACCGAGACACACGACAAAAAAAGGTACCCAGAATCAGAACCTCGATTAGTTATTTAATTAGAAAATGTTATAACATACTGCGCATAGTCAGTTCAATGACGTAGCACTACCTTTGTAATTGAAATATTTTGACTCTGCAAACACCGAAACCAGATAATCTTTATTATAAAAACAGGAAACAAAAGCACTGGATTAATATTTTAAGGCATGAAACATAAGGCAAATGAGAATTTACATTTTTTATTAGATTTATGGGATGCTATTACGAACGTAAGAGTCGTGTATTTATTTAGTTGTTAAAATTCCGCAGGAAACACGATGTAAAAGATCGAAGCATCTTCTGAATATTGAATGATTTACAATCGCTTAAGCAAGCTCCAATTTAGACCGGTTTTCTTGTGCATTTCCACATCCGATTACGTATGCAGTGTGATAAAAAAATATCCGGTACTGATTTTGTAGCGTAAAAAGAAAGAGCAGCGCAGTAATGAGCGTAGCAATCGAAAGAAGGAGTTTTCGTGTCTCATTACACTAAAGGGCGTTGCGTTGTAAAAATTTGGAGCTGCGCAAAAGAAGTTTTTATGTCCACGTGCACGGGAACAATGGCGATTTCAACTTTTCTGCCTACAAGAACGAAAGCGAACATCATTTGTACGTCAAACTGGCCAAATATAAAACAGAGGTTTTGAAAGGGTTCAGCAGGATTGTGTTAAAAGTGGTACATTTTGCGAAGTATTTTGAGTGGCACTCGAGCTTCAGCACTGTAGAACATCGCTGGAAGACGAAGAGTGATAGGACGACCTTATTCGACCTATCCTTTGTTCACTGATTTTCTTTCACTCTTGAGGTGCTAGTGCCACTCAAGACAGTTCGCACACCTCATTGATCTTTTATATAAGCCTTCACAACAATTTCACAGGTTTGAGATCTATGTTTGTCGTGTTTGACGTGAAATTGATGTTCGCTCTCACTTAGGTTCTCAGTACATGAAGAGATTGTCATTATGTTCGTGCATGTGGTTAAATAAACTCATGTAGTGCAGCTCCAGATGCTTACAGAGCGACACCTTTTGGTATAACGAGAAATGAAGGATCCTGTCTTCGACTGCTGTGCGCCTATCCCTGTGATGCCCCATAATTCTATGCTAAAATGAGCTCCGGAACCTTTTAGATCACGCCTCGTAGAATATACATTGCATTTTTTTTTCTTTTAGCTAAGTATAACGCCATCACCTAGAAGACAAGGCCATAGTGTTGCTACTTGTTTGCGTCACCAGAGAAGGCCGGCGCTGAACGCAGATTGGAAACGAGTCCTGCGTCAGCGCTCGGCTTTGAGTCAAGATTGAGCCGAACGTAGACGCATTTCTCGTGCCTAATCTGTGACAGGCATTGGCTTTCGATGATGACGACATCCATGCAGGTACTACAAGTTGTTCTATCCAGGATGTGTTGAGTATGGCCAGCCTGTGTATACACAAATAAAAAAACGCTCTCTTAGCTCTCTGTGTTCCTCTTCATCGTCCTCTATTCATCACGTCCTCTATTCATCACACCTTCAAGATTTATTGTACAACTACGCAAATTGGTGGAATATAGAAAATGAGTTCGCAGTGAGTAGTCACTTTATGAAAAGGTTTAATATTAGTTGGAGTACAGTATTGTTTTGAGACTGCTTAAACAGCTGGCCTTTCACAATCTGGTGATTTGATCGTTTATGACGAACCGTAAAAACCTAAAACTTATCCACAGTTTGTATTTTTTCTACGCACCATGAAACGCGATGTAGTTAGTTTCGCGGTCGCCGTAGAAAAAAACATTTCGATAAGCATGGTTGGGTAAACAGTAACGAGATTTGGTAACAAGAAGTACTTAGGAACGCCAACATGTGTGTAGAGGCGTTCGCATGCAAAAAAATTAATTAGTTTATATATAGCGTCACTCGGATTTTTTTTTTTTTTAATAGTGTTCTTTATAAATTCATGCAGGCCTTTTAAAATATATTTGTTGTGTCTGAAGTCATGATGCAATCGGCGGAGTAAGAGCCGTTAGCGTTAAGGTATATGTAGTTTGTTCTTCCTTGTATGTAGGCCGTATTCTTTTCGGTGTTAATTTATGTGAAAATCTGCGGATGTTTTACGGTGTTTAGTTCCCAAGGGCTGATGAATTTCATTGAAATGTCTCGTGCAGACGCTTAAAGTCACGAATAGAAGCAAACAATCAAGACGGGAAAGGGATAAACTTTAATTTACTTCTGATACACAATGTTCTTCACACTTTATTCTCGTAAGATATGCACGCATACATACCGAAGCTTGCTTCTCACATTTCCGCCCACTCCTTCCTGTAGACAACTCAAAATTTTAAGAATGGACGCTCTACATTTGCGCTAGACAACGGAAGTTCCAAAATCTGAAAAAAAGTATTTGGAAAGCACTGGCTAGTCTGATGAGTGCAGCTTCCAAAACAACACAGGGTCATCAACGGCACTGAAGGTGTACTGGCGCTAATCGAGAAGCTCATCTACCAGATCACTGAGCTAACATTCTTCGTACACGAGAAGCCTGTAGATGCTTTCACAAGGAACAGATCCCTTTGGCAGCTCCATCTTAACGCAAGGGTTAACTATATGTATCTTTTACCAGAACGAGTCATGCGTGAACTGCAAGGCATCGGAGATGTCAGCGTAGGGAGACTTATGCTAACGGTCAAGTCAATGCGACGATAGTAAAAATAGAAAGAAAGGACATGTCTGACGAACATTTACGTAAGGTTTTTTCAGCTAACGAAAACTCCGACTTGTATGTACATATTTCGAAACCAGTATTATTTTTTATCTCATTTTTTTTATTTCCGACACAGGTGGATCGTTATGGGTGCTTTTAAGTTAAGACCTGAAAATGTTAGGCCAATTCGTATGTTATTTTTCTCAAAATGGCAACATCTATTGCCACAGCTTGCACACAAATCCGGCGAACTTGACCCTTTTCACGTGATACATGCCTGGTTCATTTCCTGTCGTACAAAAGAGCACAAAGAGAAACAAAAGGATGCAAAGCAGGAAACGAGCTTCTGCAAGGCCCTTTGTGATATGATTCTTAGGAATATAAAGCAGCCTTTATCTGGCGGTATCTCTGTACCTTGCACTAAGGTTAATATCAATTAGAGACATTTGAGGTTGCATAGCGTATGATAAAGTCAAAGATAACACTGAAAGATGACCCTATTGTTGTACACTACAATGTGGTACGCGTCAAGGCATTTTTAGAATTTTATGAAGGTTGCAGAGCCTTGGTTATTGAAAATAAAAATCCGACGTAAATTTTAGTTACACTCAAGTTTGTAGCACTGATAAGGCTGAAAACGAAAATGTTTCCTTGAGAACAACACACTTGTTACGAAGTTAGGCTTTATGCCACCAAATAACAGACAAATGGACTTTGCAACACACTTATTGTTATTTTCAGGCTCAAACTTCGCTTTGCCTGCATGATGGACCTCTACCGGTTTCCTATGGACTCGCAAGTTTGCAGCATTGAGCTTGCATCATGTGAGTTACTTGAAAATTTTAGATAACTCGCGTGAAATACACGCCTGATGCTTTTTTATTGTGATTTTTTTTAAACAACAGGCTCTTTGTTACATAAATGCCATTTTCACTGCGTTTATATAAAGTCTTCGGATATTAGAGGGGATGATAAGTGTCACAATCTATACTCAAATAACGGTAATGACAAAGACTAGCTGGTGAACGATCCTTCATATACTTATGAACCCCAAGACAAGAAAAACAAACGACAAAAAAGAAAAAAAAATGGACTGCACAATGACATCTCAAATTGAGAATGTGATGACCCTTTGTTCTTTCTTTCCGATTGTTTCTGTTGTCTCGGGTTTATAAGTAAACGTACAAGTAAACGTACAATGTAATTTGAGGGGCTAAATTAATTCATAGGTTCGGCATAAAGACAGGAGATTGAGCTATTCATCGATAAATTTTCTCACAATTCTCACCTGATAACAAAACTTCATACACAAAACGTTTCATGTGCCCTGTTCTCAGTCTGGCCTAGAGGAGTGGTGTGCTCGTTTCTGGTTCCTCGTTCCTTCCTTAGTGGCGTGGTTTCCTGCGCATCAACGAAGGACACTCTCTATTCATAGTGACGGTGTGACTGAAACGATTACTTTAATTTTCAAAGCGGTTTTGTGGGAGAAATAGACGATATGCGAAACCTCTCGGTGGACTGGCAACACTGTGCACGCGGCCATCTTGGTAGCGTTAAGTTTCTTAAGTTTTGGTTTCTCAGCATTTCCAGGGCAAGGAGGCTGTGCCACTGTTTGTGATTCAGCAACTTTATGGTTTTCTGTCTTGCAATGAGGCAGCGTGGGGAAAGGATTAAGCCGATGCCTTTCATCTCTGAAAACATTTTCAATTATTTCTTAGGACGCGAAGACTAATGATATCTTACTGTTTAGCAGTAGACACCTCCACGCCAATACATGCTATTCAGGGTTAGTCCATTTTTTTGTCGAGCAGTTACTGGGGAGAGTGTCAATTAGTGGGAAGCTCTCAGCTCTCGTGAAGCAAACTGTGCACTGGAAAACCTTTTCAGGCGCTACAAAAAACTCGAATTGGTTTCAGATAGCGTCGACATCAAGCTCAGTTGACAGATGTCGCGCCGGTTAATAAAAAATTGTTCAAGCCTGGCAGGATGATTGCATCGTTTTTCCAAAAACTCCCCCCAAGCCCCATAGCTCGAAAGAAAACATTTAATCTTAACTGCGACGAGAAAAAAAAAGAACGTTCCCGCGAAATGAAATTAGTATTGCCGGTCTTGCTCCAGTCGATGTACGCCGCATAAACTTTTTCCTCCAACGACATCAAAGTTCTAGCCACAGCCATGAAAATCCACTTTCTGGTTAAAAACAAGCAGACACGCCGTCCGTATAATTTGTGTTTTTATTATACGTAACCATGTTTTGCATCTTTAAGGATATTTTATTACCAAAATCTCTCTTCTTTAGTTTTAGAGGAGTTTTACCAGCCTCGTTCACCAATGACAGATCAGATATAGAAACATCTTTACCGAAAAATCCGGTATAACTTTTCACTATCCGGATTATGGAACCGGAAATTCGTTACTGGAAACCCGAAATCCAGATTGCAGACAAAGGAATAATTTCTGAAAACCTAAATTCCAGATACAGTCCAGATAGAATCCAGATAGATTTCTGGTTCCATAATCCGGATAGCGAAAAGTTATACCGGATTTTTCGGTAGGGATATATCGTTCGTTGCACAGCAGTCAGATTGTTTTCTGCCCTATATCTAAATGAAGAGGTTTGGGGATGTTTCAGCTTTGGTTGTTCACTGTTAACCATACGAATCTTTAATTATGGCTGAATGCGTAGATGATCAAAACTGTCATATTTTTGCCTCGCTTCAGAGCCTTAATCTCGTCCTTCTGCAATTATCTGCTCTCGCATCAAAAGAAACGCAAGCTGACACTACAGCATACAAAAAAAAAAAAAAAAAAGACAGGCACCAGAAAACAACACCAACAACAAATTCACACCAGAACAACACGCGCCAGAAAACAACACCAAATACAAATTCGCATGCTTTTCGCGCTGTCGCCGACTGTTTTTGGAAAAGGCTGCGTGTAAATAACATGTGCAAGAAAGAAAAAAATCGTGAACCCCGTTCACGCTTGCGTTCACGTCACCCAAAAAACCCGAGGTTTATCGGTGCTTCCGCAGGAGAACGGGGCAACGCGTTGGCATCTGGTCTCTTGAACGATGCCCGGTCGATTTTTTTCATGATTTCTTTAGCATTCGGGTCGCTGGCGTCGTTTTCTTGCCGATTGCAATATGTCGGATGTAATTCTTGGCGTGCTACAAGATCGCGCTCTTTTGTTTTTCGCATTGTCGTCTATTATCGGCACACTTTTTGCTTCTAGTTTTTGAATCGGGCTACTGAAGCCAAACACCACCAAGATACAAGTTCTTTGCAATGTTTCTTCTGCACACCGTTGATTGTAAAACTTCCCGAACGCCGGTGGCTTTTGCTTCGCCCACAAGACCAGGCAAATATAATAACAAGCTTGAAGCAGGAAGAAAATCATCAGCCGCGTCGCCCGTTATTGAGCCTTGAGGGAGTAAGCAGACTTTGTTAGTATCTAGGTGGTTTTGCTAAAACGCTGAAACTGATCAATAAATATCTTAATTCACATAACCGACGACTCCGTAAAGAGACATCCTTTAATAGATATGTCCGCCAATTTCGCAATTAAAACTTACCCATCTAACTTTAATTCACAAATTAATTAAAATGTATTCGTTGTTCGGATTACTGACCGTGGCAGTTAGCCTTGTATCTAATGTTCGAACAGACCGATCTGCATGCATTGGATTTGGTATTTCTGAACCGGTCACACATTCAACGATAAAAGGTGGAAAACATATCTTATACATATTGTTTAGTAGTGTTTAATTTACTTAAGGTACTATTTCGAGCGCATATAGTTTCTCAATGAAAAAAGGGTACAATAAATACGATGGCCTTTATTAATACTTTCGAAATGTCAAACTGTAGCGTGTAAATAATAAGAAGGTGTGGATTAAATCATAGTCATGTTTGTGGAAGCGAATAAGAAATAAATACGTGATTATTTGCAACATGTTTGTTCCAGTCTCAAAGACTACAGAAGAGCTTCACCTTGAATGGTCTGAAGCCAACCCAATCATCCTTTTTGAAGGTCTCAAGCTTCCTCAGTTTGAGATTCAGAAGATTAATACCTCTGACTGCATGGAGAAATTTCACATCGGTAAGTAACATTACTGTTCTGCATGAAAGTATAACAGACATAATATAGATTAGGGGTGCCAAGCTGCGGCCCTTCGCGTGTTCAATTGCGGCTCGCGGCTCTCCCCCCCCCCCTCTCCAACCGAATCCTCCGCCTCCCTCCCGGTCACACGAGCACTTCCCCAAAAATAGAAATGGAAAGCGTCTTAGTAGGTAGCGGTTTAATAGTCTTGTGCTACTGCCACAGTACGTACAGTTGGACTGCTTTTAACTCGGACTGATTAAAAATAGTTGTAGTTTCGTTTATTGCTCTCAAAAACAGTTTGCCCCCCCCCCCCCCCCCCCCCATTCCCACGGTTCTTGAAAGCTTCGTGGTTTTGTTTGCGGCTCTTAGGCCGGGTCAGCCTGGCCACCCCTGATATAGATAGACAAATCGAAGCCTGGTTAAGAGTAACCAAAAACTCACAAAAGTTTTCTTAGATGTCGAGTCAGGCCGAAAGAATCAAGGCTTTTATAGACCTTTTTCGAAAGTCACGTGCCGATTATTACAAGTTCGGAAACAACCGTAAAACGGCCGAACAACTGACACCGTGGAATGTGCAAGTCATTTCATTATACAGCAAATGTCAGAGCGCGGCCAATGCTAGGGGCCGACAAGTCAATCTAACAACTTCAAAAGACCAAGCTCACTCCCTATTGAAAATTCTCATTGGTATGAGAAATTTCTGTGTCCAATAAACACATATGAATCATACAAGATATATAAGAACATATAAGAACCGTATAAGAACCATATAAGAGCTATATAAGAACTATATAAGATATATGAGAACATACAAGCACCATATAAGAAACTAGTGGGAAGTTTCTTATAAGTTTCTTATGGGTTCTTATATATCTTATATAATTCTTATATAGTTCTCATATAATTCTTATATTGTTCTTATATGTTCTTATATGTTCTTATATATCTTGTATGATTCATATGTGTTTATTGGACACAAGAAATTTCTCATACAAATGATTTTTTTTACTAGGGCTGCGCTCATCACTGGAGGGGTCACGTGACCCGTCCCAAGGTCACCCCAAGGTCACGTGACCCCTCCAAAGGTCATTTCAAGGTCACGTGATCCCCAAGGTGACCCCACGTAACCCCCCAAGGTCACTCCAAGGTCTCGTGACCCCCCAGGTCACGTCACCCCCTCCCCGAGGGCACGTGATCCCCCTGAAGTCACGTGACACCCCCCGAGGTCGCGTGACCCCCTCCCCCGAGGTTAGGTGACCCCCCGGAGCATATTAAAGAAAGAGGGGAGGAGGAGGAGAAGGAGGAGGAGGAGGAGGAGGGGTCTACCCTCCCCTCAGTACCCTTCCGTCCTCCTCCTCAAGAGCTGCGCTCCAATTCGGCGTTACAGCGAGTTGTAAATGGCTTTCACTTTTTCATGTGGGTGTTGTTTTAGCATAGCCTTCTCTATACTCACAAGGCCTAAGAGTTCGACGTCAGACCCATATAGTGTCCGTACACAGATTTGGAGCGCGAGAATCTGGCAGCACAGAGCATCAAAGAGTCATTTCTCGGGGAACCTGGACGTCAGCGCACAGCTTTTCTAGTGGCGAGGATTCGAAATACACTTGTTTCACTCGGGAGAGGTGTATTTTGGCGTCTCGCCACAGCGGGCGCAAATCACGTGGCTCTCCTCTCATCCGTTGTTTGCCGCTCCACCTTTTCCATCTCGGCGGCCGCTGCACGTGGCGATCCGCACGGCTTTGTCAGTATATAGAAGGCTGTGGTTTTAGGCTTCTAATGAAAACAAACGCATAATCTGTGCCGTGACTTTGAGGTTTCAGTCCGCTTTGTGCAGGTATTGCACAGCTGCGATCCTGAGGACAGTTTCTCGTAAGGAGTCTATCAAATGTGTCATAATCACTCAATGTTCCGAAGCAACGCCGGGCTAGTACCCCACCGTTTTAGGCGCTGCAAGCAACGCAGCTGAATTTCGAGGCGGGTTGACACATGACGTGAAAGCGTGACGTCGTCGTGAGACATGACGTCCCGGCTGGAGCGAGAGAAAGCTATCCTTGGCATTCACTGAGCTCTGTGGCAGTTACCGGTTTCGATTAGGTTTTTTGAACGCTTTCATAACGCTTTTTGACTCTTAGTGCACCGGCTACTGTAGTAGAAAAAGCTTTGCATTTTTTAAGAAGAAAAACACGAGGCGCATCAAGCGTTAACCCAGAACGCGAATGGTAATATAGTCACATTGGCGCCGCGGTCTCGCACACAAGTTATTTCTTTTGCCATCTAAACGTATGCCAAGCAGGGAGAGGTGCTTGTATTTATCGGAGTTAGCTGGGTCATTTCAGCCTTCGTTGTCCATTTGCCGTGGATTTTCGTCGGTTCCTTGTGAACCTCGTGGGTTTGTTTAGCCTCGAGACATGCCGCGTGCCTTTGGTTCTTTCCAACCTTAACAAATGGCGGCGCGCGCTTGGTTGCCGCGTTTCCTGAACGTGCTCTTTGTGCTCCCTTGCTTGGCGTGTGTCTCCTTGCGTTCCAACTAGCCCAATACGTATTGTAAAACAATTGCCATCAGTATTACTGTAACCTAAGTACGTCACTTAGTATTTTTGCTTTAGTGGCTGAGACCTCTTGCAGAACAAGAAACGAGATCTTAATAAATATTACGAGTAAGCGATGGGAAAACGGATGGGCTAAGCGGATCAGACTACGTTTTAAAGTATAAACGAACGCTGGTGTCACAAAGTACCCGCACAACGCTAAAATGTGTATAGAAAATTCAAAGTCCAGGCGAGGCCTTTAAGTTAGTAATAAAATGCCTCTAAAAATTACTATACGAATAAATTCGCACGTGAAGTCAGAAGTCAGGTTTATGCCTTGCCGAGAAACTAAAATGTGCTTAGGGAAATCTGTGAATTGTATTTTTCGAATCGGAATACAAGCACGACTTGAAAATTGATGTTTTGCTTAGTATAGATTTATTCAGAAATGAAATGTTAAACACCTCGACGTTTTGTAAGCGACTGGTATCATGTAGGAAATTTTATTTTGTATATTTTCAGAGAATCGATTTGTTGATTTCTCTGGGGAAAATATATAGCTGTAACTTGAAAGATTATAGTTAAGCGCGATATAAAAAAATGCTTCAATTCATTTCACTCGCAATGCATATTAAAGTGTGTATTTCTTCATTTATCATTTGAGAAATGAATTTGTATATCTTGCCAAAGATACGAGGGTTGAAAGAAAAACAGATGTAGAAATCGCAGCACAAAAAATATAAAATTGATAATGATACCAAAACACAAAATAATCACCATTGGGGCGGCAAAAAAAAGTGCACTTTTTTTCGTTTTGCCGCAGTGTATTCTATGGTCGAGATGAGTGGTATTAAAAATTTGTTTCATTTCAAAAACTGGTGTTTGTCAGTCTTCCGCTCTAATGTGTGTTTTAATATTCTGTGTGTTTGAGACATTACAATTTTATTCATTTTTTTATTTATTTAGTTCAGGTACACAAAAAAGCCCTCTGTAAAAGGGGATTACATAGGAAGACGGCAAATATATTATAGCGCACACAGAACACAAAACGTTTACGAAGATAATACAAGAACAAGGAATAAATATAATGTTAAGTATTAGTATAACTGCGCAGGAGCTCTTGGAAGTTCGATACATCTAGTTGAGTCGCAATGCGAGTCGGTAGGTTGTTCCAGTTGATTATGTTTCCTGGTATGAATGATCATGCATAACTGCATAACTAGATGAGTGGCATGTGATGCGCGTTACCTTGAATAAATGATCGCTACATTAAAACATTAGGACGTGCTTAAAAAGAATCGTCGTGAAGCGATGTATGGTCATAGAGCCTGTGAAATAATGACAGACGGCATGTTTACGGCGGCATAATAATTATTACTTTGAGAGTCATTTTCAACTAAAGATGTTTCCAACGTTCTTGTAGATCGAACCGACATAAACGAGCTTTCGAGGAGTAATGAACAGGTAACCAATATTTTAAAACTGAGTACTCTAATGAGCGAAACAACTGTGATATGTACTTATTACAACAATCGTAATTGTACCGTAACTCTATATAAATAGCTTTATTTGTAAGTTAGGTTTTTTTCTACTAGGTCCATGCCAGCGACTGCAGACGGTTTGGAAATGATATAAAATTAAATACGTTTTAGGTACAAAAAGACAAATAGACAAAAAATGAAAATAAGCAAACGTTTTCGCAATACTAAACACTTTTTTTTTACAAACGCATTTTTATGAATAGCACTTCCATGTAAGGAAACTCCCTGACAATATTATAACTGGATCTAGCTAGTCTACTGTAATAGACAGATAAGTAACTTGTCGGTACTATGAGCCAGTTGCTTTTGCTTTTCATGTACGTCCTCTGCAAAATCAAAACCAAACAATTATTTGTTTTCGTTTAGTTTGGCGCTCAAAGAAACAATGCTGTTGTCAGGATTCTTTCACCTTGTTAGACATTTCCTAACAAGTTCGCACGGAATGTGCACTTTGCCAGGCTCTCGCGTAGCTTCGGTGATTCAAAGACTTTTTTCTTTTAGTTTTTTTTTCTATTAAGGCGCAAAAAAGACAGTGCTGAAATTCCCGGAATTCCTACCTTCTTAGTTCTCAATATTACACTGAAAGAGGACGCATTCTTGCGCTTGCTGTTAGTTTCAGTTGGCTTCCTAAAACGTTTGCGTGTAGCCTCCGTATGTGTTTTAAGGGAACCCAGTTTCGCATTGAGTAAAGTCGAGTTCATAGATGGGCGGAAGACATGAGCTTTTGTTGTATTCAGCATACCACTCATAAGAGGTCCCAGAGTGACATGAGAACAACATTTTGATGAGAGCCGTAGAAAACATTTGACTATGGCTTTGCTGTCGCCGTCTTTAATATCTTCTCTCCGTTTTACGTAGCACCGTGGTTAGTTCCTGTGATGTTTAGAAACCAGTCACGTCACGTGACAGTGTGCACTATGCAGTAGTA